CCTGTCTCGTAAAACCAAAAAATAAATAAATAAATAAATCTTCTTTCACTTTGTTTAAAGAAATAAAATAAAATAGACAGCTTGACTCAAGCCAGATGTGACACACTCCTGTAATTGCAGCACAACTATTGAGAGATGGAGGATCAGGAACTCAGTGGCATCCTCAACTACATAGGAATTTGAGGCCGGCCTACACTACATGAAATCGTCTCAAAACAACAACACAAAAAGTTTTATTGTGACCTTTAATTCCTGCACCCAGAGACAGAGGCAGGTGGATCTCTGTGAGTTCAAGGTCAGCCTGATCTATAGAACAAGTTTCAGGACAGCTAGGGTTACACAGTGGGACCCTGTCTTTAAATAAAAAGCAACAACAAAAACAAACAGGAGTGGAGAGATGGCTCAGGGGTTAAGAGCACTGACTGCTCTTCCAAAGGACCTGAGTTCAATTCCCAGCAACCACATGGTGGCTCATATCTCTCTGTAATGAGATCTGGTGCCCTCTTCTGGCTTGCAGGCATACAGCCAGGCAGAAAACTGTATATATAATATAAATAAATCTGTAAAAACAAACAGATAGGTGTGTCTGTAAACCCAGCATTTAGGAGGTTAAACAGGATTGAGGCCAGACCGGGTTGCATAATAAAGCTTTCAAGAAAAACAAAACAACATGAAGAACTAGGTATGGTAGTTCTTACCCATGATCCTAGCATTGAGAGGTAGAGGCAGGAGGATCAGAAATTCGGGGTCATCCTGAGCTACATACAGGACCAAGGAAAGTCAGTATTACATGAGACCCTCTCTCGACAAACTAACAGGGCCCGTGAGTGGCTTAGCAGGGACTGGCTGCCAAGTCTGATGACCTGAGTTCAATTTCTAGGTCCCAAATCATGGAAGGACAGAACTGACCCCCCAAAAAAGTCCTTTGACTGCCACACACGTGTTATGGCATACATGTGCCCATCTCACACACAATAAAAACTTTAAAACGTTAAGACATTAAGAACTTTAAAACAGCCAGGCGTTGGTGGCGCACGCCTTTAATCCCAGCACTCGGGAGGCAGAGGCAGGCGGATCTCTGTGAGTTCGAGGCCAGCCTGGTCTACATAGTGAGTTCCAGGACAGCCTCCAAAACAATACAGAGAAACCCTGTCTCGGAAAAAAAAAAATAGAACTTTAAAACAAACCTGTGTCGTCTCTTCCCTTGGCTTTTTCCTATGTATCATGTCTTTATAGAACGTGTTTGTCTGTTTGTTTGTGACAGGGACAGGGTCTTGCTTTGTAGCTCTGGCCAGCCTGGTACTTCCTATGTAGCCCACACTGGCTTGGAACAGAGGTGTGCCACCACACCCAGCTTCTGAGACTGTTTCTTACTGCCTTTCACGGGCAGCCGGAGCCTTCTACATACCGGCTAAAACCCTGCCGCTGAATTACATGCTTAGCTGTCCTTTTCAGACTCTCCTGCCTTTTGTGTCTCCCTTCAGAGATGACTTGCTGCTTATTGGACCAGGAAACCGAAACTATACATATATGGCCCAGGCTGTGAACAGAGGGGTGACAGTTGTGGGACTTTGGGACCAAAGGCATCCTGGCATGGCTGACTACATTCCCGTCACTGTAGAACATGCCATTGAGCCAGACACCAAGCTTACCTTTGTTGGCGACGTCATCTGCTTCAGCACCCACCTCGTCAATCAGCATGGTAAGTACACTTCTCCTTAGCCAGACAGTTTTTAAAGACAGTTTTGTCGCCGGGCGGTGGTGGCGCACGCCTTTAATCCCAGCACTCGGGAGGCAGAGACAGGCGGATCACTGTGAGTTCGAGACCAGCCTGGTCTACCGAGTGAGTTCCAGGACAACCTCCAGAACCATACAGAGAAACCCTGTCTCGAAAAACCAAAAAAAAAAAAAAAAAGACAGTTTTGTCAGGTGTGGTAGTATTGCACGCCTTTAATCCCAGCATTAGGAAGGCAGAGGAAGGCGGAGCTCTGTGAGTTGCAGAACAGCGAGGGCTACATAGTAAGACCCTTTACCCCATCCACCAAAAAGTCTTTTATTTATTTTTGTCTCTTATGGCATTTTATTTGCTTGGGTGTGGGGACAAGGACAACGTGGGTGAGTTACTTCTCAGCTTTTATCAGTTGTGTCCCAGGGATTGAACTCAGGTCATCAGGCCATCTTGATGGCCCAAAGTGTTTGATGATTTGTCACATTAGTTGATAATTCTCAGCCAAATGACCATTTTTCCTCAATTACCAATTAGAAGTCAACTAATAACACTTATCAGATGCCTACTGAACACAACTTTATATTATATAATGTAGATAATCTATGGTACTATGTCTTCATCTCAGATTTTGAAGGAAGGTAACTGATAGGTTAAGAATAATAAAAGCTAGAGTAGAGAGATGGTTCCGTGGTGAAGGAAATTTCTTATTCTTGAGAAGACCTGGGTTCAATCCTCAGCACACACATGGTGGCTCACAGCCATCTGTATACTCCCTCTTCTGACCTCCACAGGAAACGGGCACACATGAGGTGCACATATATGCATATAGACAGAACATTCATACACAAAATTTAAAATCTAAAAAAATTTTAAATTATGATAATAGATGAAATACAAGAAAGTAAAAAAGTCAATGAGACTTTAGTTTTGGGAAACAAATATTTATATGCTATTCTATGAGGCAGCAGTCACAGCCTAATCTAATGTCCAATAGATTACTGTGGCAAATTTGTATAGTGAGTGTGTGTGTGTGTGTGTGTGTGTGTGTGATGCATAGGCCATTGTACAAGTGTGTCGATCAGAGGACAGCTTTATGGAGTTGGTTCTTTTCAGGGGATCAAACTCAGGTCATCAGGCTTGTATAGCAAGCGCTTGTCTGAGCCAAGCATCTTGCCAGCCCTAAACTATTTTGATCAGCAAAACATTTCTGTTGGAAGAGATTCTAATAAGTTCAGTAAAGATGATAGAAAATTGGTCCTTGGGCTCAAATGCTAGCACTGAAAAATAAAAGTAAATTTCTCCTTGGCAAGGAAATGTGAATTCTTTGGCTTTACAGACAGTATGTCCCAAAGTGGTATGTGTATTGCCACAGTCATCTGTGGAACATGGTTCTCTAGGCGAACAGCCATCATTTGCGTCAGAGCAATGGGACGACTTGTAATAGACCCTGAGGTTAGACCTGTTCATTGCTGATCCTGCATCATAGAAGGGAGAATGGAGAGGGTCACTCCCACTTAGTTGTATGTGGTTCTGCTCTAATTGCACATAACCTCCTAGTGTTGGGGGTGTAGAGCACACACATAGTGAAGGAGGGACTCCATCTGTGCAGCCATGGGGAAGTTGTCATCCACGTTGGAGTGAGACTTCCCAGTAGTGTGATGGCTTTGGGGTCACCCAAACTCCTGCTCTATAATTAAGTCCAATAAGCATATTAGTTTTTCAAGTTGGGCTTTGATTTTGTTTGTCAATGGTGCCCTATAAGGAAAACAGTTTGTCTTCCCAGGGAAGAGTTCCTGCAACCATCCATGTATGACTGGGTGGTGTAGGTCTTTGGCTTTGGCTTTTCTGGGAACTATGGACATGCGCTGGTTAAGTGACAACACTGGACCTGATTTTAACATGTACTACATGGTTTATCCTTGTTACAAAGGTAATTCTAATCAGTCAAGGGCAAATTATTGCCTTGTAGCTTACTTGCAATGACCAGTGTATACACCAAGGCCTGTGAGCTAAGCTTGCTTCAAAGTCAGTAATGAAAGCTATAGTTACACAATTGTAAATTCCTTGGATGAAGCAAATTTTATTTTTAGGCATTTATGGATGTGTGGGCTGGAGAGATGGCTCAGTGGTTAAGAGCATTGGCTGTTTTTCTAGAGGTCCTGAGTTCAATTCCCAGCACCCACATGGTGGCTAACAACCATTTATAATGGGATCTGATGCCCTCTTCTATCATGCAGATGTACAGGAAGACAGAGTACTCATATGCATAAATAAATAAATCTTTAAAAAACATTTATGGGTGTGTTGGGCACCCGTGTCATGATGCACATGTGAAGGTCAGAGGACAACTTTCAGCACACATGTCATGATGCACATGTGAAGGTCAGAGGACAACTTACAGAAGTCAGTTTTCTCTTCTCTCCCACCATGTGGGTCCTGGCAATTGGCTCAGGCCATCTGGCTTCATAGCAAGTGCCTTTGCCTACTGAGCGGCTCGCTGGCCACAGCACAGGCTCTTCAGCTGGGCTTGTGCCAGGACTGGTTTTGCAATCTGGAATTCTGTGAGACAACCACCTGTGTGCTAGCTAGGATGAGGAAGCAAAGGGCTCCTGGTCAGGATCAGAAACCCAGGGGATGCAGGTGAAACAGACGTTCAGAAAAGCCACCTACGTTCTTGAAAAAGCGGTCTTTATATTGAAGATTACAGTCAGGTGCTCTCTCTTGTCTTAGGTGAGCCTGGGACGTGGATGATTTCTACCAACAGTGTTATACAGACAGACACTGTCACTGGAGTAGGAGTGGCCAGGAACCCAGGAACCGCAACAATCTTTCATGACATCCCTGGAGTTGTGAAGACGTTTCGAGAGGTACAGCTAACTGGCCACAGCTGGACAGAGCAGAGTGACTGTGGCACACGCGGAAATACCTAGGAGGGAAGCACACTTGCTAACAGACCCCCAAAGAGTTAGACGGGGACATGTCAGTGACAGAGCACTTGACAGTATGCAAAGGCCTAGCTTCAGCCTCAGGCACCTCCAAACAAAACAAAACAAAAAAGCTATTTTATTTTTATTGTATTTGCTTATTTCCTTATTTTGGTTTCTGTGTAGCTCTGGCTGTCCTGTCTAGACCAGGCTGGCCTCAAACTCAGAGTTCTGCCTGCCTTTGCCTCTGGAGTGCTGGGATTAAAGGCGTGAGCCAACTCACCTGGCTTCAAAAACGCCATTTTGATGAAAAGTTTAATCTGACCTCTGTCTTAAGAGACCACTATGTGCTCCATGTAGCAGTGCATATACTAAAACTGGAACAATACAGAAAGTGTTGGCAGGGCAGGGCCCTTGCACGAGGATGACATGCAAATTCATGACGCATTCCATATTTTTATGGTTAAATTTCTGTTTCTACTCCCATCCTGAGAGATCTAGACAATGAGGGGAGGGCCTGGCTGCCTCTGCCTGTCCTGAACCAGGTGCCATCACTGTAAGGAAATGCCTTCAGAAATTCACTGGCTCCTTCAAACCAAAAGAAAAAAGACACAGAGAGACTACTGTGAGGACTACTGTGAGTAACCCAGAACTGATGTCAATAGCCAGATATGGTGATACTCACCTGTCGTCCCAGCACTCCTGTGGTGAGACAGGAACCTGCCAGATGCTCCCTAATAGCAGAAATGAGAGATCCTGCCTCAAGACAAGGTGGAAGGAGTGAGCCGCGTCTGGGAAAGTTGCCCTCTAAGCTCTGCAAGGCATGGCATGGCATGCATGTGCCCACACTCACACACAAACTAATGGATCCTTGTGAGCATGGTGCTATATACCTGTAATTCCAGCATGCAGACTGAGGCAGGGTTGCTGAAGCTGGAATTCAAGGACAACCTCGGCTACACAGTGAGGTTCAGGGCAGCCTGGGCTACAGTGGAAGACATTATCTCAAAACAAGAATGCTTCTCCTGGGCTGGGGATGTAGCTCAGTTGACAGAATGCTTTACTAATGTGAACTCCTGGGTTCAGTTCCCACCACATAAACCAGGTTTGTCTTCAGTCCCAACACTGGGGATGTGGAGGTGGAGGCTGGAAGATCAGAAATTCAAAGCCATCTTAGGCTATAAAGGAGATTCAGACCAGCTGGAGATACATGAGAGAGACCCTGCCTCCAATTTCTAAAAAATTCATTTCAAAAGTACAAATTTGTAGGCAGAAATTTCTGTCCCTCAAGCTGTTCCCAAGTAACCACTCAGAGACTTAGTATTAATTACATATGCTCAGGCTTGTTACTAGCTAACTCTTACATTTAATTAACCCATATTTCTTATCTGCGCTCTGCCACGTGGCTCGGTACCTTCCTCAGCACAGCATGCCCGTCTTGCTTCTGTCTGCGTCCACTCAAGACTCCTCTGACTCCACCCTTCTTCCTCCCAGCATTCTCTCCCAGTTTTTCTCTCCTGCTTCAACTTATCCTGTTCAGCTTCTTTACTAAACTAATCACAACAATATATATTCATATGGTGTAAAGGAATATTCACATTGTCCACTTTTGTCTACTTAATAGCTGTTTTGTTGTATATAATTTTACTATGTTAAAGTTAAAACCGTTTTAATTAGACAAAAGGGGGGGAAATACTAGTTGGACAGTGGTGGCGCATGCCTTTAATCCCAGCACTTGGGAGGCAGAGGCAGGCGGATCTCTGTGAGTTTTAGACCAGCCTGGTCTACAAGAGCGAGTTCCAGGACAGCCTCCAAAGCCACAGAGAAACCCTGTTTCGAAAAACCAAAAAAAAAAAAGAAAGGGTGCGGGGAAATACTGTGGAACAATCTTTGTACACTGTAAGTATGTATTACTCTCATTGAATAAAGAGCTGGGAGGAGAGCCAGACTAGAAGGACCCTGGGAAGAAGGGCAGAGATACCAGACAGACAGAAAGGAAGTAGGACGTGAACACAATGATGTAACAAGCCATGAACCACATGGCAGCACATAGATTAGTAGAAAGGTGTTAGTTTAAGTTGTAAGAGCTAGTTAGTACTAAGACTGAGCTATTGGCCAAACAGTTATAATATTAAGTCTCCACGTCAGCTATTTGGGAACTGGTGGGTGAGAAAGAAAAGTTTGCCTACACAGATTTTGTTGTTGTTTTCTCAAATAATCAGAATGACAGCCTGTAGTTGTATGCAATATATACTTCTGGTTGAAATAAGGTATAAGGGGTAAAGATGGAGGGGACCAGATTTCCCTTTGGTTTGCTGACAGGTGGTGGTCAATGCATCATCAAGATTAACACTCAGCTATGACCTCAAGACTTACCTCACCAATACCCCCAATGCAACTGTGTTCAAACTTTTCATCAGCACCGGCAGAAATGATGTCAACCTCAAAGGTAAGGAACTTCTTCAGGTCTCCTGACTATGACCATCTTCCTTTTCCCTCAATTTTTTTTTTTTTTTTTTTTTGGTTTTCCGAGACAGGGTTTCTCTGTATTGTTTTAGAGGCTGCCCTAGAACTTACTCTGTAGCCCAGGCTGTCCTCGAACTCACAGAGATCTGCCTGCTTCTGCCTCCTGAGTGCTGGGGTTAAAGACGTGCACCACTAACTCCTGGCTCCCTCAATTATTTTACTCCTTTGGATTAATGTGTTTCCTTTTATTGGCCGTGCGTAATAGCCCATACCTGTAATGCTAGTATGTGAAAAGCACTGCAGCATGTTCAAGGATACTGTGGGCTACATAGCAAGCTCTTATCTCAGAAAACTAAAACAAAAAATTTCGTTTTACATCATAATTGACTCCAATTTTTATAAAGGCTGTTATTATTTTTAATTATGAGTAGTATTTGGATTTGTGCACATGCATATAGGTGCCCTTGGTGCCCAGACACCAAAGATAGTTGCTAGGAACTGAACTTGGTCCTTAGAAGAGCAATAGCTTATGTTGAGCTATTTCTCTAGCCCAGTGGGTCTCAGTCTGTGGGATGTGGTCCCTTTGGGGCCTGAACAACCCTTTCACGGGGGTTATCTAAGACCACCAGAAAATGCAGATGTTTTCCATTACTATTCCTAACAGTTATGAAGTAACAACAAAAATAACTTTATTGGTGTCATCACAACGTGAGGAACTGTATTGAAGGGTCTCAGCATTACAGAGGTTGAGAACCACTGTCTAGTCTTTGACTCCACCTTGACACATAAACTGAAATCAATGAGATTTCAAAAATTATGACTGGATTAAAGTTTGGATTTTTATAGCTGAGTAGTAGTGGTACATGCACTCAAGAGGCAGAGGCAGGCAGATCTCTGTGAGTTCAAGGCCAGCCTGGTCTACAGAGTGAGTTCCAGGACAGCCAGGGCTCTTTTACAGAGAAACCTTGTCTAGGGGGAAAAAAAAAGTTTAGATTTTTTTCTTTTGTTGTGGTGCTGGAGATCAAAGCCTGGGTCCTGTGTGTTCTGTCATACTGTGGAGGCAGTAGATAGCCTTGATTAATGGGTTTTAGTTTCTTTATTTTTGTTTGTTTTGAGAGTCACACTATGTAAACCAGTCTGGTCTTGAACTTTGGCTTCTGCCTCCAGAATGCTGATATTAAAGACACATTAGGTTTCTTTAAAAGATTTGTGTGTGTGAGAGAGAGAAAGAGACAGAGAGAGACAGAGGAAGAAAGAGAGAGAGAGAGAGAGAGAGAGAGAGAGAGAGAGAGAGAGAGAGAGAGAGAGAGAGAGAGAGAGAGAGAGAGAGAGAGAGAGAGAGAGAGAGAGAGAGACTGCCTTGTGTGTTTGGGTTCCCTCAAAGGCCATACAAGGATGTCAGATACCCTAGAGCCTAGAGCTTGAATTACAAAGGGTTGTGAGCTGCCCAGGCCGGGCACTGGGAACTGGGTCCTCAGTCAGGTCCTTTATAGCCAGTCTTTCTTGTCCTGCCAGCCAGCTCCCAAATCACGACATGGAGACTTATAACTATGAAAGTTTGACTGATACCTTAGGCTTGTTCTTAGCTAGCTCCTTTAACTTAAACTAACCCATTTCTATCAATCTGCTGCTGCCATGTGGCTCATGCTTGTTACCTCATCTCCTACATGTTATGCTTCCTGAGTCTCTGCCCTTCTTTTCCCAGCCCCAAAAACCCTGCCTAGCTATTGGCTGTTCAGTTTTTTATTAAACCAATCTGAGTGACACATCTTCTCAGCACACAAAAAGATTATTGAAGAGCTTAAGCACTGAGTCATCCATCCCTCTAGTCCCCGTAATTTTTCCTTTTACAAACCCATGTGGGTGACAGTTAACTTTTCTCTTCTTAGGGTCCTGTACCCCGAGTCAGGCTTCCGCTGTTGCAAACGTTCTTCTTCCTGAGACGCTCCTGCTGTGCCATGTGCAGTTCAGTAATACTCTGCTGGACATCCCAGCAAGCAAGGTCTTCCACGTCCATTCACAGTTCAGCATGGAGAGAGGTACGAGCAGCAGCTCTGCAACTGTCACCTCCTGTTGAACTCTATTTGTTTTCTCTACCTCGGGAGCCTTTGTTGTTTTGTTCAGGGTATCGTGTATCCCTGGCTGGCCTCAAACAAGAATGACCTGGAATTGAGGCCTCCACCTCCAGGAGCTAGGACTGCACCGTGTCCACTTTATGCATTGCTGGGGATCATCTCGAGCTTTGTGCATGCTAGGCAAATTCCAGACCAACTGAGCTGTATCCCTTATCAACAAACTTCTAATACATGCTGCCGAGAACAGCTGTTTTCCTATAATGTACCTTTTTGTCATTCCTGTTCTATGAAAGGTTGGATTGTGTCTCCTTTTTTGTTGTTGCTGTTCTTTTGCTTTTGTTTTTGTTTTTTTGAGACAGGATCTCACTATGTAGCTCTGGCTGTCCTGGAAATCACTATGTAGACCAGGCTGGCCTCAAACTCAAAAGATCACCTGCCTCTGCTACCTGACTGCTGGGATTGAGAGCATGTACCATCATGCCTGCGATTATTCTTTTATCACCAACACATAGCAGTCTTTGAATATTCCAAACAAATGTCATTAACAAGAAATAGTATAACATTCAGATGGCTTGATATAAGTGAACTAACCTAAAATGAGAGAATTCTGCTAGGGCCTTGTGGCATAAAACTGTAATCCCAATACTTGGAAGGCCAAGGCAGAAGGATCACAAAGTCAAGGGCTGCCTGGTCTACCAAGTGCATTCAAGTTGACCTGGGAAGTCTAGTGAGACTGTTCAAAATCCAAAGCAAAAGGTGGCTGGGGGCCAGGCGTTGGTGGCGCACGCCTTTAATCCCAGCACTCGGGAGGCAGAGGCAGGCGGATCTCTGTGAGTTCGAGGCCAGCCTGGTCTACAAGAGCTAGTTCCAGGACAGCCTCCAAAGCCACAGAGAAACCCTGTCTCGAAAAACCAAAAA